TTGCGTTTTCCCTTTTGTGGTGTTCTTCTTGTTGTTGATTCTCATGGTAGTGCTGTTCTTTTGTGTTTTTCTATATTATCTTCTACAACAGCTCTTTTTTCCTCAAATCAAATCGATTTAATTTTCATCTTGTGTGATTTCTTCTCAATATTTCCTCTATCCTCTACAGAAGATGAGTGGTCTATCAAAAACTCTGCAGAAACATCTCCGTGATAGCGCAGAGAAGGGTTCGCCATCAGCCGTTCTCTTTGCCCAGATTGCTTTTGTTCCTACAACAATTTTTTTGTGGAAAACCAGACTATGCGCAGAACATGATAGCACTGGAATCATAGTGGCGTTGTCTTACCAAAGCATCTCAGCCGTTCTGATATCTAATTTGTGGCGTTTGAGTCAATGTGAATCCATCCATGGTAAGTGTTGCTCCATGCTAAACCCAATAGCAAATGGCATCTCCTTGATTTTGGGTATTGTTTTAAAGGAATTTTATGAGAAATCCTTGAGTTTCCTGGGATTTGCCTTGAGCATCACAGTTTTGTTTCTGATCCTACTGGTCATAATACGACCCCCCACGGACCTTGGGTTGACCAGTTTTCTAATTGGAGTCATTGGATCAGTTGCTTACAATCTTTTCAGACACAAATTTCAAACTTGGATAGTTTTCGCCATTTGTTTTCTGCTATTTGGTTTTAAGGGCTGGATAGATAAGAAATGGTTGGAGGTGGAAGTTGATCATAAGCCACGGGAAGACCGAAGTTCCAAGTCAGAGATTATTGAGGCAGTAGTAGTGGCGGGTTTCCACCTCTTTTGGGTTTGGAATTTGTTTAGAATCAATTGTCTAAAAATAGAAGTGTCTGCCAAATCCATATCTTGCACCTTAAGTTCTATAATGGGAATGCTAGCAGGTGTGCTCATTTTCATTTTGTGGTTCGGTCTTGCTGTTGTTCTTCGTGTACGTTCTTTGTTCCAAATCCCACGGGGAGATGAAGAGGGACAACCACGGCGAGATGAAGAGGGACTAGAGATGAACCTAAGTTGTAACGCGGTGGAGGCTGTTCCCACGGATTTTTACTTGGAAGCAACTGAAGCTGAAGATGTACCACTACGGGGAGATGAAGAAGAATTTGACATAGAGGCGTTGCTAGACTTTTTATCCTTGGAAGCAACTGAAGCTGAACATGTACCACTGTTCTCACGGGAGATGAAGAGGGACCAGAGATAGACCTACCTATGGCGATGCCAGACTTTGACCGTATGGATTATGACTTGGAACCAACTGAAGCTGAACCTGTACCACTGAGTCCTGAACCTGTATCACTGAGTCCTGAACCT